CCGAAAGACCCTGCGGGAAGTTTGGCTAGCTGCTCTGAATCACTCCTCAATGGTCAACAGCACTGTTGCTGTGTAGAGAGCAACACAGTTTCGGGTTCAAAATCGTTGGTTATTGTCCTCCCCACCAGAGAAAGTGTGTCTCTGCAAAATTTGGACCTGTGTTTAAGGCCTGGCACGGCGAGGTGCATGATGTTGATAAAGATAAATAAGCCCGATGACGTCAGGTACGTCTAGTGCTTACAATTTGGGGTGTTCGGCATTGCGAATGGTTTTTTAACGTCCGCTGGCTTTCGATCACGATATCACACTCAGGACCCTTCCATGCAGGAGCGTTCTTTCCGATACCTCACCAACTTGGAGGAGGAGTCTCAAAAAGGAGTCTTGCATGCACAAAAGTTCTCCCTCCCACTTACTGGACTACCCTTTTTCAACAAGCATTGGTGGGGGTTACAGAATGACCACTTCCATCAACTGGGTCATTTGGTGCCGCAGTTCCTTCAGTCCCCAGTGGATGAACAAACAAACAAGAAGGCCAAGACCAGTCATGTCCTTCGAGCAAAAAGAACCACAGCAACCCTCCCTACTTGTACGTTTGGAAGAGCATCAAATCTCTGGAGGCGTTTCCTCCACATGAACACCACCATCCGAAGTTCTGGGCATTGATCTTGCTCAAAGCAGTCAACGACAGCAATCAACTTGGTGGCTTCCTGGGGTGATTTTTCACGTGTTGGGTCTGTCATCATCATTTCTCTTCGGTCAGTGTCCCACCCCCTGGCAGGAACAACAGGCGAAAAAAGCCCTGAAGACTCCTGAAGCGGAAGCTGCCAAGATCTTCTTCCAGCATCCCCATCCATATGTGTCTACCATAGCCGCTATAGCCGTCCATATCCATGCTGGGAGCAGTTCTGCTTTTCACACAGCACTGAATAAGGCTTAGCTCTCGAGACTGTGCAGAAGAACCCGCGGCTCTTAACAGTGCCTGACTTCGAGTATGAGCGTACCAAGCCGTCTCTCGTGGCTCAGCTGAAACTGCTTTTGAAGCTCGCACGCGCGTGCGCGGCTTCGATCGCGCACGCCTGCGGTGCCTGGTGGGAGTGGCGCACCGCCACTGTCCGCCGCAGGCGTCCCTCTCGAACACTGCCTCTGCCATCGACTTCCTCCGTCCCTTGGGCGAAGTGCCTTGGGCGCAAGTGAAAAGCCGAAGAGAGCGGACATCGATGTCCGCCCGAAACCCAATGGAAGACATTGGAAAGGTTCCCCCAAACGATCAATGACTCAATGCCCCCCAAAAGATCCCCAAAAGTCGAGGGTCATGAGATCAGCGAATCTACCCAGCTTGCTAGGTATTTCCATGTATTTCCATGTGTTTCCCTACTCTTAATGTAGGATCTTGATTTCGATCACCAGGTGGGCTTGGCCGTGGTGATCTTCAGCTCCTTTGTGGCACTGCTGCTGGTTCTCAGGCCGGACCCTGGAACCGACGTGGGACACGAGTTGGAGGGGTGGGGGAAACGGCTCTGGACGTGGTGGTCCCTCCTTCTAAACGAATTACTAATATTGCGTTATAATGATTCTTATATTTTGTATTATATAGATAGTTATTCTTTTTTCAAGAGCCCTTTTATTGGTAGAGAAGAAGAAGAGGAGGAAGCAGAGGAAGAAGAGGAAGAAGAGGAAGAAGAGGAAGAAGAGGAAGAAGAGGAAGAAGAGGAAGAAGAAGAAGAAGAATAAGAAGAAAAATAAGAATAATGATAAAAATAAGATCAAGATCCCTGCGCTAATGTTCTGGATCTCGCCGGGCAGGCCACTGATCTATGGTGTGGGAGGCGGACCGTCCGGAGCCCCCAGAAGACGAACCAGGTCCAGGACAGGACCAGCTGTGGCTCTTGATTTTCTGCGGCTCTTCCAATGGCTCCCGACATGGAACTCATGGGATGAAGTTTGTTTGTCACTCCAAATGAGGGTGGGATGAATGTGATTTGGACTTCTCTCGCAAGGCACCAGAGCGACTCTTTGAGAAGTAAGTATATAAACACTTGTGGTTGCTGTTTGGCGTGGCTTCACAACATAGTCCATTTTTGTGTCTCCTCTCTTTTTCAACGCCTTTTCCTGGAACACCACTCCGTTTGCTGTAAACGGCCATTGTTTCTCCCTGGGTTTCAGAAGTCCGAGGTCCTTGGTGGGCCTGGTGACAGGCGCCTTGCCCTCCATTCCACGACCCAGCGAGCTCGCCGAGAGCTACGGGATCAACCTGGCCAGTGCCTGGGGAGCAGCGGACTCACCGGACCCGAGCCTTCCTTCACTATTGGGTTGGAGGCCATCGCTATTAGTAACAAAGGCCATCGCTACGTTCGGGGCTCCTGGCCATACTACTAGGAGCAATGTTCGCTACTAGGAACCAAGGGCATCGCTACTAGGAGCAAGAACACAGTGCCCGCGAAAGCACCGGACGCATCCGCGTGAACGCGCATGGCGCGTGTCGCCCTCGCCGTCGTTCCCGCGTGAGCTCGGTCGGAGCGACTTGGAGTCTTGTGCGACCCGGAGTCTGGTTGTGTTTGGGAGAAACACCGGTGTTTGGTGGTGGTCCAAGTGTTCCCTAACCTTCTGTTTTTTGGATGGGCCACGGATGTACCTGCAGGATGGCAAGCGGTGAACCAGGAGCCCTCCAGATGGGTTCCACAAACGAGGGCTCCGTTCTCGGCCACCCTGCGCTGAGGCTTGGTGGCCATTATCCCCCTCACCCAGGTCTTCAGTGCCTTTAAAAAGCGTGTTGAAGCCGAGCAATGAGCGCAACAGAGCGCAACACCAGGCGAGCTTGCTGCGCGCAGAGAGTACGCGGGTTTGCCAAGCTCCCATGTTTATTGTGGAGTAGATGTGAGGAGGTTGGGGTTCTGAAGTTTCAGATCATTTGCATGAAGTGTCAACAGGCTGCCTCTTTTCCCCTATGCCAGGTGTTTTTGTCCGCTCTCCCCCTTATGATAGCGCCCATAAGGAGGGCGCCCATATCCGGAACAATTCAGACAACGCCTCCGTGAGCACCTCCGAGAGTTTGCGGGCTTGGAACTTTTTAACTTCTCTGAACTTTGGAGGGCCAGGGCTCGACAAGCTTCTCGGGCCAGTTTGCTCGAAGAGCATTTTGGGAGTAGATCGAATAGATTTTGGATTCCGCGCCCAGAATCGCGCCCTTTCGTGGGCGCGTGCCTGCTGGCAGCGCATGCAACGCCTCTTCGTAGGGGTGATCAAGAAATTTTCCGTGCGATCACTTGCAAAAGATGGAGCAGCTTCGGATTCTTTCTCTGAGCATGTCCGAATGACCAGCTTGATCCGTCCCAGGACGTAATTTCAACACCTAGCCTCGATCCACTTTGTAAAGAGTTGACTCGATTTTCGATCAGGACCTCGTTTGTACTTCTCACCTCCTTTTTCACCTGGGGCTTGGTCACGCAAATATCAAAAAGGGATCCCAAAGGGACTGGGGTGCCCTTTTCGCCGTGTCAGGTGACGCCTGCTTCGGCTCTCTGGGAAGTTTCTTCAATTTTTCGCCACGCCCGGAGAGCTTAGACGTGGGCCAAGGGGTCTGGCCACAGCTCTGTCCACAGGGCTCAGTGAATGGATACATCAAGCTCTCCAACCCTCCGGGCTTGGATCTTGTACTAACACATCAAGCCCCCCCAGTGGGATCGATGCACCGGGTGGGCCTGGAACGATACGACCTGCTTCGGGCGTCTCGGGTGAATCGATGGTTTTGGATTAGAATCATCACCAAGCCCAATGTCATACTATCACAAGAGCTTGCGAGCTTGGTTGATTTCCACAGCGACCTGGACCTGCTCTTCAAGCATGCAAGCTTGCAACATCCCCGCAAATAGGTGTGTTGCATGCCCTCATTTGAGCAAAGCTTCGTGCTTGGAGCAGAAATGACATGCAATTGGAGCCTTCGTCGGTCACATCGGATCGATTTGACAGGTGTGATTCCGTCAAGCGTGTGAAGGATGAAATTCACGTGCGGCGCATCAAACACACCATGAGGCGCAGCAAGAAACCATCAGAAACCACTGCTTCCTTTCACTGACCCTTCCTTGTGATTGACCCAACAAAAAAGCTCGTCCGCACCGGGCGGGACAGGGATGGTGAGAGCCGAGATCTCGTGGGAGCGGCCAAGGCCAAGGGGCCTTCGAGGTGAATCCTCCCTTCGCGCCTGCCATGATTGCGCGCACGCGGGAGCACATGTCGGGCAGCCCAAGAGGTGTGTGCTTCTTACTTGTCAAGAAACTAGAAGAAACTAGATCATCCAGGTCAGGTTAGGAATGCCAGATCTCAACATTGCGCTCTCACAGGCCGGGTCAGTGGAGGTAGATGGAGGTAGGGGAGGGAGGATGGGCATCCTCTTCGAAAGGCTTCGCCGCTTCGCCCGCACAAGCTCCCTGCCAGGCACAAGCTCCTTGAAGAGGCCACAGGGCCCTTGCGCTTTGTGGTGGCACCTGAAGCTGCAACCATCCGACTGAGGGCGGCAGCCGCAGGGAGTCGGCAGAACCCGTCGTAAGGGTACACGGGCGGGAGCACAGGATCTGAGAGCTGGTGTTCGATTGGATTTGAAACAGGATCTCTTTCAACAGACTTCAAATCAAACCTTCTTTAGACAGGTTGAGGCTGGTTCTTTAAACTGCCAGGTGGGACGGCCCCCTCAAAATCTCACCAAGACCGAGGCAGTGGCGAACTGGCCCCATCCCGAGGCCTGGACATGAAGACGGACCAAGGTGAAGAGAACACCGCATGGCACCGGGGGGGACCGAACCATAAAGGTGTGCTTTTTCACCCATTTGGTTGATGAATACAGAGGATACTCCCGAGTGTACAAGTGGTATGAGAATGGAATATGTGGAATATGTGGCACCGTTTTCTCTATTGTTCCCATGGTCAGGCATCATTCATCAGGACTGCTGGACAAGCTTTTAGATGTGACCATCTCAAAAAGACACTAGCGATACTTCAAAGCGCAAACAGACAAATGCACAACAAACCGTAGAATCAGGCTCAGGGGTAGTTGCCTTTCAACAGAGTTTGAGACAAACATTTATCTTCTCGACCAGGCTCGCTCGAGCACAGCTTCGTCGCACGTCGTGACGGCTGGCGCGGCCACCGCGCCGTACGGCGGCAACGGCGTCGGGACGGCCACGAGCAGCTTCCTCGCGCCAGGTGGAAGCACTCAGCAGTTCACCCTTCCGCACGAGTCCACCCGTGGTGGTGGGCCAAGACGACCAGGTGCAGACCGTCGGGACCGGTCGGGACGTTCGTTGAACGCCGCTGGCCGTGGGTGGAGTCGCGAGGGAGAGAGGGTCCCGATAAAAACCCAGTCCGGCAGTGAAAGCGTGAGCAGGTTCTTGGAAGTCCCCGGACAAGTGTAAGGAAACATCAGATCAGTTTTCACTAGCCATCACATGCATGTAAACCCTGGCCCCTCCCTGCAATTTGGCCATCTGATGGGATCAGTAGCTCATGTGATCCCCATGTGGCCGCCAGTTCTGTATTCAGAGATCTGCTCTCTTCGCTGGTCGATCTCGACCAGTCGCAGGTCTGGATGGACGGCCGAGAGAAGCGTCGTGCCAGCTTCTCAGTCGCGGGCCGCACGGGTGGTTGGGGTGGTGTGTCACACAGGCTCATGGGTGGTTGGGCTCTTGCCTCAACATTTTTCGGGTGCCTTTGGGTGTCATCAGCGAAATGGCAATCAGCGAGGTTCTGTTGTGTGTTCAATTTTCCTTTGCACCGAAAAACGACCTTTGTTGGGTTCTTTGTGACCCATCTTGCTGGAGAGTTTTTCGCTCTGGAGAGGATGGAACATCCATCTTATGCCGCTCTACAACTTTCTTTGTCTTAAAGAACAAGTAGGATGGCAATATGCTGAGATCAAATCTTTGACCGTTCATCCGTGGCCATTGGCGAAACACTGGAATCCAAGAATTGAGATCATTGAGAACTCTTCAACACTGCCAGGTTTCCAAAACTTGGCGGTGGAAGCTTCAACCTTTGAGTAACCCTTTTGTATCCTTTTGTATGACTTTTAGTATCCTTTTGCATCCCTTTTGAACTTTTCGTCCATTGGCACTGGGTGGTTTCACTTCGCTTCGCATCACACCGAGGCTCCTGTGGAGCTGCTCCTGCTGGTGCTCCAAAACCACGCCGCGCAGCCGGTGACGTGGGGAGACCCCAGGGGTGCAGTGCATGAAGACCACCAGGGAGGGCGCGTTTTGTGCGGCGTTTTGTGCAGAGAAAAGGCCCATGGGGGGTCAAGGATATGCGAAGGACCACCACAAAAAGTTGGCGCCTTGGACGGTTTTGGCATACGTATGTATACGTACTTTGGTTCATGATCAGATAATCCTCATGAAGAGCAGTTCGCTTTACACCTGTTTGGGTTCGGACATTCCAAGTGTTGGAGGACCCATCCCTGGTCCAAAGGCCTTCTGGGCTTGGCAGGCGTGGCCCAGGTTGGGTCGCCTGAGGGCTTTGAGACACTCGATCAACCCCCAGCCAATCTGGTCGTTAGATGGTGGCCGTCGATGCGAAGATGAGGGCAGAAGACCTGGTTTTCATCCTTCATGCCCATCAAGATTTCGGAGGAACTCGAATGCGGGCGTTGCTGTTGGAGAAGCACTGAGGTTTGTTCCAAAGCTGATTGCTCGAAGTCGATCGACTATACAAAGGCTTATGTGTTTGACGATTTAGATCACGTGAACGGATTTTGAGACGCACACCGAATGATATTTGGGGATATTTGGACCTTGGATATATTTCGGGTGTGCCAAACAAGAAACACCCGCACTTTCCCGTGTTGAGTCTCGTGCTTTCCTCGTTCGATGCTCTGAGGCGCGATCAGCTTGAACGGTGGTGCTCTCAGCGAACGACGGAACGAGCTGGGAGCGACCGATGATGCCACGGTTGATGTGGGGGGTTGTTGGTTGCAATAGATACAAAATAAGATACAGATAGATGCAGATTTCAAGTGCAGGAATTGCACCTGAAGAACGGGATTAAAAACGGGCATGTGTTCTTTTTTCTATTGGGGGGGTTGTTTCGCCACCACTTGAGTGACCTGTTCAGATTCATATTTAGTCCAAGTCTTTTGGGGCCTCTGGCGTTTGGCCCTGAAACGCCCCGGCGTTTGACTTTTTGTGCGGTGATTCCTTAGTTGAGCAGCCTTGAAACCGAAACGATCGACTGGCTGAGGCTGAGACAGAGTTGCACCGGCGAGGCACGCAAGTGCCGGCAGTGGCGGAGGTTGATGGGCGAGCTCTCCATCCCGTGAGACAGATCTTAATTCAGAAAGTGGAACACCTCCCTGCAATTGTCATGAAAGTGGAACACCTCCCGTTGTAGAGGAAAATGATCATCCAATGGGCCATTTTCCACTTCCATGATGACTATCGAATCTACCAGATGTTGTAGATGTTTCGTCGTGCTGCATCCGCCTCGTGCCGGATTTCGATTCAGAGGATTCGGCGGTCACCCCCTGGTACTGCCTAAACCCATGGGTGACATGGTCCTTTTGGTGTTCTGCAGTTGTGCGGATCATTCTGTGGATGTTCCATGCCTGATTTCGCAGAGGTCCTCGCTTTCCACTGACAGAGGTCTTCGTTGCCTCGCTTTCCTCCAGGCCAAGCCCATGGGCCCTCGGAAGAGGCGAGCGAATGGGAGAATGTCAGCGATTCTGGTCAGTGAAGGAAGGTCAGCTGGGCCGAGGGTCTTCAGCGATGTCTGTTGGGGCAGTAGTCGTACAGGGCCGGCACGTCTGCGGGGACGATTGTCACACCGAGATTTTTGGAAAGCTTGTAAAATCCCTCCGCCACTGACGCGTCACGGGCAACTACCCGGCTGCTCTCTACATATACCTTGTTTATTCCCGCATCACGACATTCGCCCAAGAAGTTCACAACAGCCGTGCGCTTGTCTAGTGGCAGAGACCCAGAAACCACTTCCGACAAGCGCTTGGCGATTTGACCTTTTTCGTGCTCGGAGAGGTGCTGGGCCGCCTGTCTTTGGCGGAGGGGTTCTTCAGGGGCAAAAGTCGCTTTCGATCCAGCATTATCGTTTCTTTTTCTAGGCCAAAGAAGTGCTAGAACATGTGGTGAAGGTAGACCCCTTACGCATGCTTTTATACAATCTAGAACTACATTCTAGATCGTGAACTAGGACTCACTTTCAGATTCACTTGGGCTCACCACATCATTTCTATAGGCAAGTATCTCCACTGCGAGTGCTTTTGTTGGGGCTA